GGTTCAATCCTCAGAAAAAAGAAGTGAAAAAAAAAATGTAATAAAATAGCTGTTCTTGGCGCTGGAGAGATGGCTCAGCAGTTAAGAGCACTGGCTGTTCTTGCAGAAGACCTAGATTAGAATCCCAGTACCCACATGGCAGCTAACAACCATCTGTACTCCAGTTCCAGGGGATACAGCGCCCTCTTCTGTCCTCTAAGGGCACTACACAACACGGGTGTTCTCACACACATGCAGGCATAACACTAATACACATAAAGTAAAAATAAACAAACAAAAAAGAAAGAAATAGCTGTTCTTTCTAAATATTGGTCCACAGAACCAGCTTCCTGGCACATTTGTCAGAAGTAAAAAACTTGAACCCCACCCAGAGCTATTGAAGTAGAATTTGCACATCATCAGATTCTCAGTGATCGCTGTGCAAGGTAAAACAGGAAGCGATCCAGCAAGCCTCACTTTCTAAAGTCATTCATTAACTTTTATGCATACTGGCTGTGACACCTAAGTTCTGTCTTCCAATCCAACGACTAACATAATTTTAATGATTCACCTTTTCCTTTTGTGCTCAAGTCACTTAGGTATTCATTTGAATTGACAGAAAATCATTCTTAGTCAAATGGGACAAAGTTTTTCAAGCATTAGAAGTACACAAAATATCAATATTCTTAGTCCCATAATTGTATATTATCTTATCTCCATAATTTTATATTACAAATTTGAATACAAAAAGAGCTTTTGATTATTACTCAATTTTAATTGTTTCTGGATATTGAGTGATTTATCTATTAAAAATAGCTATTTTTACATTCATCATATTTTTAGCTCTCCTGTTAATTCTATCAAGTATTTAAAGGACTAATCCAATTCTATGCATGCTCTTTCAGAAAACAGAGCAAGGAAGTTTTCCAACCTCATGTTACAAGGGCACTATGATCCCAACAAAGACATCAAGGGAAAAACCGCAGACTCATGCCCCTCATAGCTCAGACGCAAACGTCTTCAAGAAGGTGTTAGCAGAGGCTGGAGAGATGGCTCAGTGACTGGAGGAGACTTGCTGCTCAATCATGAGGACTGGAGTTTGGACCCTGGAACCCATGTTGGGTGGTTCACAAAAGCCTGTGAATTCCAACTATAAGGAATCTGATGCCTTCTTCTGGTCTCTGCAGGCCTCTGTACATGTATGTACATATATACTCACACATAAACATGACCTACTCACATATAAATAAAATACAATTTTAAAAAGATGTTAGCAAACTGAATGTATTACTATATAACAATACTTATTGTACACTGTGACCCAGTGGAGTTTACTCCACAGAATTTTGGAAGTTATCTTACCTTCTTGTATAATGTTAGCAGATTGGAGTCTGGAGATCTCATGCCATGTTCTAACTAGTTAGTCAAAATTCATAGGTAGGTTGAGCATACCAGTACACACCTGTGATCTCAGCACTTAGGAGGCTGAAACAGGAGGACTGAGAATTTGAGGCCAGCCTGGGCTGCATAGTAAGTCTCTGTCTCAAAAAATCAAGGGCTATGGATGCAGCTTAGTGTTAAAGTACTTTGCAGCTTATGAGGACGAAAGGTTTGCTCGGACTCATGGCATTAGAGATCAGGCCATGATTAGTTGGCTCTATTGCCTTTGGGCCTGTGATGAGGCAGTACATCATGACAGGAGCAGAAAAGTGAGCAAGATGCTCTCCTCATGGCTGGGAAGCAGAGAGTAGGGAGAAGAGGGGCTAGGGTTTCAATAGCCCCTTTGAGCTCACACCCCTGATGACCTACAGATTTCCCCCAAGTCCTACCTTCTAAATGTTCCACTACTTCCCATTAGTGCCTTGGACCGGGACCAAGTCTTGAACATATGGTGTTTGGGAGGCATTCAAAATGCAAATTTAGCAGTCTGTGTTGGTGTATATTGTGATATTTTTCCTGGGGAGTCTATTTCTGTTCACCTTACAATGAAAAAAAGCAACAACAGGCCAAAGAAATAAATGTGTTCCAATCCAGCTTGGCAAACCAAACCCATGAATTTATTAGAGTTTCTTTCAGGGTGAGTGACTCCTGGGTTATAGAATAGTCCCATGCCAGCCTGGGCAACGACTCATCAAAGCTCCATCACTGAAGTTCCCTGTACACCTCTGAGGCAGCTACCCCTCTGGAGTCTCCTCCTTCCCAGCAACTGTTTCTGGCCTATATAATCTTAGAGAGAAGCCTCAAAAGTCCTGTTTGCTTTCTGATCCTCTGATCCTCTTCCTCTCACTAGGAGGGAACATTTCAATCTGAAGGAAACAGCTGCACTGTAGTGTGGGGCGATTAGAACTCCTACTGAGTCTTTAAGGAACATGAGTTTGTGTCCAAGGAGGCAGTTATGATAGAATATTCCAGAAAGAGAGGGAATGGCACACTTAATGTGAACTTTTGTCTCTTCGATAGAGATTCTGTTGCAGGAGATCAGAGGACAGACCTCCCCGCCCCAAGGGAGCTTTTCCTTTAAGAGGAGACTGTTTCAATGAATTCAGAGCCTGCATTCATCGCTGTCCTATAAGCAGATGCTTAATAAGGCTAATTTATCTTCCCTTTCATAAAAATAACTTTTAATAATCATACCATGTAGCAATTCTATTTTACTTTTGTCTTTAATTGGGAGCTGCAGATCACTGCTTTGCAAATAAGCAACAAACCAGCCACCTTCCAAAGATTTGAAAAGGGGCATTAATATTTCATTGGCTGCACTGGTTGTGGTGACTTTCACTCTCTTTGATAAGTTTCATTTACTTCCAGGAAGCTGCATGAACATCCCGTGGGGTAGAGACAATGAGAGCAAGTGGGATGAGCTTAATTATCTGCAGACATTCCTGTTAACATGATTACATGGCAGTATCTTTATGGCCAACCAGACCGTATGTTCATAGAGAACTGGCTGCAGAGGATGGAAAGGAAATGAATGAGATTCTGAGGCAGGATAGAAAGAGGGCAATTGTGGGGACAGGAGAAGACAAAGGAGGCCCTCACTTTGGAGTCTGATGGAGGCCTCTCACCAACTGAGAATCAGGAGTTCTAGCACAATTAACATTTGCTTAAAACCTTTCTCCTTTCTCACCTGTAAACATGCAGTTTTCTAGGACTATCCCTTTAGTGAAAGGACCTACCCAAAAATTGTCTGTGCAGTCCTCGTGGCTCCTGGGTTTAGCCTATCAGATTATAATCTCCTCCAAAGCAACTCTGAATCCACTGGATAACTTCACTTATCAAAAAAGAGAGAAAGGGAGGGGGGGTTCTTAGCAACCTTTGAGATGCAACTTGAGAACCATCAGAATGGTATCTATGGCTGATGCTCAGTCACTTAACTGAGACTCTCCCTCAAGAAGTCCATATCCACACTTGGGTATGTTTTACAACCCCCGCCCCAGTATCGTTCTTTTAACCCTGTTTCTTAAAAATCCATGTGAAAAGTGTCTTTTAATAACCTGCAACTCTTCTTTGTGAAGTCCACACCCATCCATGCCTTCGGGTGGACTTTTAGTCTTTCCCTGAGCCTCTCCCCTTCTGTTTTAATAAACTCCAATTCTGCTTCATACTGGCTTTCCCTGAAATTCTTTTTCCAGGAAGAAGTCAAGAATCCTGAGCTGGCTGAATGGAAGTTCCTAAAAGATTAAGGAAAGTCCTCAGCTGCAGAGGCAGAGCTGAGCTGTGCCTAGGTCCCTGTAAAGGGGACAGTTCCTGCTGTGACAATCCCAGCCTTGTGCAGTTAACAATTTAGGGTGAGATTTCACAGCCCAAGGAACACAGGACTCCAAATAGCTACTGTTGCAAGTGGCCTGTTATCTGTCTAGGGATAAGAGTTGGGTTGCTTTTCTCTGTCAATTTAAATTTAAATTAAAAAGCAGGAAAAATATCATACCAGCAAAGAGCGACAGTCAGGCTTTTATCAAAATAAAGAACCACACATACACACACATGCATACAAATGGAAAGGATTTTTAGGAACCCGAAATCCAGAGTCGTGTTCCCTCCCCAGAGAATCCTGGTTCTGATGGTTTCCCCTCCCTTAATTTTGGATTGGTCAATTTAAACAAAGAAGTGGGTGCTGATAGGTCACAGGCCCAAGCTGAGATATTCAGGGCTACGTGACTCTAAGCTGGTCCGTTGAAGGGGTCCTGTTGGAATTAAAATAAGGCCTTCCTGACAGATCAAGAAGGAAGTGGGCGGTCTTTATTTCTTCTCAGTGACCCTGTTTGCTTCTTAAGCATTTACTCTCTTACCCTACCATTTATTGAGCCATTACTATGGAGCACATACCGATGGTACTTACACCCTAGTCACAAAAACCTAGGAGAAGGTCTCTAGCCTTTCCTTTTAACCTATGATGAAACTGAGTCAGACACCTTAAGGTTACCCAGCTGGAATGTGGCCAAGTAGGTTTTCAGCCTAGGCTGTCGGAGGCCCCAGGACGCTGCATTTACATAAGCTTCATTTTCCCTTCCCCTCTCTCCTTTTTCTGCTTACGACTGGAGCATTGGACACCTGAGCTACACAGCCCCAGCCCTCTTTTCGCTGACTGTATGCAAGAGACTGGCCTCAACACTTGGTGGGCACACTGAGATTGAAGTTAAGGCCAAATCTCTTAAGCAGTGGCCTTTGCCTAGGATAAAGAAGGCACCCCGTCAGTCTCTTTGCCCAGAGTGCTCTAGGGCGGAGCCTTGCGGAGCCTAGGACAGGGGCCCAGCCCCAGGGGCGGGGCCGGGCTCAGGAGCCCTGGGCAGTGGGCGGGACCTGAGGTCTGGGGGCGGCGCTTGGAGGGAAGGGTCGGGCCCACGGCTCCGGGTGAGTGGAGCGGCCTGGGCAAGAGGGCGGGCCCCAGAGACGGGGCGGGGCTAGGCGGGATGGGGGCGGGGCCCACCGGCGCCGGGCAGAGCACTGCCGAAGCTGTGGGGGCGGGGCTATGACGAGGAGGCGGGGATATGGGCGGGAATGGGCGGAGCTCACGGCGCCCGGCGGGTGGAGCTCTGCCCTGGCCCAGGCATAAGAACCTGGTGTGTGCGCCCAGCCCACCCAAGCACCGGTCTCCGCACCGCCGTCGCCTTGCTGCTGTACGCACGCGCCCCGCGGTCCCTGCTCCCCTCAGAGTCCTGGCATCACACGACCTCCGCCGCAGGAAGCACCGCCCGCGCTGCCCGCACCATGCCCCGCATAGATGCGGACCTCAAGCTGGACTTCAAGGATGTCCTGCTGCGACCCAAGCGGAGCAGCCTCAAGAGCCGAGCCGAGGTGGGGGCCGCCGGCAGGGGGGAGGTGGTGCAGGGGTGCGGGGTGCCAGGCTGCTTTGTCACACTCCTCCCTCACCTGGGAAAGGGGAAGGCCAGGCCGTTCCCGGCCAGCACTTGGACTGTCTTAGGGGCAGTGATCACAGGGCCTGAAAATTCCAGATACATCTGCCGTTTGGTGGGCAAGGGAAGTTGGCCCTGAAACTCGACCGCACAGAGGCAAAGATCAAAGTGACCAGAGACCTTAGGAGGAATGGGCAGGGGGAGGAGCACGAGGAGGGAAGAGGAAGCGGTGGGGCTAGGGTGGGAAGGCAGGGCAAAGGGGCTGCAGATCCTTGGGATCTGGGCAGTGTCCCCGGGTGCTGGGACCTGCGGCTGCTGATGGAGCGTCCAGTCCTGCGGAGGAATGGCTCCAGCAGGTCAGAAAAGCCTCCCCCAACTCCCGAGTTTAAGTGGCCTCGTCGGGAGCGGAGCTTGGGGACCCGCATCTTGGTGACACTCTGCGGTACTGGGCAGCCCCGCAGCCCCAGCCCAGCGCGAGACAAGCGGACGGCGCTGGGATGCGGGTGATTGGGTCCCTTTGGTAGCTAGTTGTGCATGAAACGAAAGCTTCTGAACAGGTGGCGACGGGAGATGGCCAAGGCCAGGGGTGGAGAGAAGGAAGGTCAGACCTTGAAGGATAAAGTAGTTTTCTGGGCAGGCGGAGCCCGCTGGAGTTGTGTACCCGGGACCATGGTTTTGGCTGGTCTGTGGAGGAAGACAGGACATGGCCTGAGAGTTTGGGGCTCAAGGAGTAAACGGGAGGAGGCAAAGCCAGCATGCCCAGCCCCATCCCTTCTGCTCCACAAACAAGACCATAAATAAATTCCCTCAGCAAACAACTCCACTCCGGTGCCCAGGTCCGACTGCAGAGCCCGCAGCTGCCAGCCGAGGGCTTGTCTGGATTAGGGCCGCCTCCTGCGCCAGCCAATGAGGGAGTAGAACAAGTCATTTCCCCAAAGCAGGGGCATTGACTGCTAGGAGTCAGAATAGGGCTGGATCAAAAGAGGTGGGGGAGGAATGATGACTCCTTTATCCACCCAGATTAGATGCCCCTGGGTCTGCCCTTCACCATGTACTTCCGGGTGCTAGAGAACTGGGCAAACTCTTAGAACAAAAATAAACAGTTGGGAGGACACTTGGTCTCTGGAAATAGAAACTGTAGCCAGTAGTACCTAAGGCCAGACCAGGACTAAGTGTGCAGGTTCTGGGCAGAGTAATAATTTTGCGGCCTCAGTGCTTTTTTAAAATATGTATTTAAAATTTGTTTAGGAGCGAGCAACTTATTTATAAAACAATACATCTTCAAAGCAAGGCTATATGCATTTTCTGAACCAGGAAAGCTCTAGAGATATTAAATATTTATATAGTAGAATGAATTATTCCCTGCCAGGGAACAATATGATGTCATTCAACAGTTGGTTTTGTGATTTGTGCTGATTGCCGTTCTTAATGTCCCAGCATACCTTGTACCTTGCAACCTATGTGTACCCATCGCAGTGAGAATCTGTGCCCTTGAGGACTATTGCTTCTACTGTCGCCATTGTGGGAGTTTGCCAGCTCGGGTCTGGAAACCAGTGTTAACTGGTGTTGGCTGTTCCAGCCCTTGCTGCTGATGGCCTCCTGGGGCTGGCCTCGGCTGCTTGGTGATCTCATACAATGTGACTTGACTTGCCTGGTGGTGTTTAAGGAACTAGTTTAGCCTCTCTAATCCCATCTCAGTGTTTCTTTTGTTTTCTCTTTAGGGCCTGATCTTTCCTGCAGGCAGGCACAAACTTTTCATTGCACAATCAGGCCCTTTGAAATGGGTGCACCCTGGTAGAAATAATACCTGGATACGAACTGGAAACAGCAGGAGATGATTAACATCACAGAGTAGCTTTGAGTGGAGTCACCCGGGAGACTGGACACCGGCAGAGTCTGGCTGGGAAAGGAGAATGCTAACTGTTGAAGACAGGCTTTCCTGATGCAGCAGTTTGCTCAGAACCAGGCCCAGAGATGGATTCTTAGTGAGTAGGACATGAAGAGACTGAAACAGTGATGTCCTTCTTGGAAATGTAGTCTTCTACATTTCATTTTCATTTCTGCCAGCTTGCAGAATATGGATTGAGGTCAGCTCCCAGAGGCAGAGCACAGGGAGAGGTGGTACTAGTGACTTAGGCATGCATGTATGGGCAGCAGCCTGTCCTCTCTCCAATGTCTAGTTCCTGGTCCTGAAGACTGAAGTGCCATAGGATTTGTTGATTAAGACCTTTGTCCTTATCTGATACACAGAGCATTTGCATCATTCCTTGGAACCCATTCTTGGCTCCAATATCCCACCCCAGTTCTTAGAAGACTTTTGCATATGTGCATATTCCTGTTTGTGTGCCTGTGTGTATAGATGCACACATGGTGGCCAGAGGTCACCCTCAGGTACCATTCCTCAGGTGCTATCCATATTCTTTGTTCTTTTTTGAGACAAGGTTTTTCACTGCTTTGGAACTTGCCAAGTGTCTAGGTGGGCTGGCCATCGAGCTCCAGGGACCTCTGCCTGTTTCCATCTCCCCAGCCCTGGGATTACAAGTATGTCATGCCCAACTTAAAAAATGTTTTGCTTTATTTATTTTTATTTGATTGTGTATAAGTGTTTTGCTTGCATGTATGTAAGTGTACCCATGTCATGCAGTGCCAGGAGAGACCAGAGGGGGTGTCAGATCCCCTGGAACTGGAGTTCTAGATGGTTGTTAGCCACCATGTGGGTGCTGGGAATCAAACCCTAGTCCTCTGCGAGAGGACTCCAGCCAGCATGCCCAGCTTTTTAACTGTGGGATTAACTCAGCTGCAGTTGAATGGCAGGTGCTGCACTGAACTATCTCCCTAGCCCTATATATGTTCATTTAACATATTAATACCACACTTGAAAAGTTGGGTATTGAAGATAAGTCACAGCAGGGAGCCACTCACTTGTCCTAGAACAGGGAGGATGTGCCACCTTACAGTCTGCTTGCAACTCTGTCATGTTGTTTGACCAGTGAGAAGAGGTCTGGGCTGGCTGTCCCCATCTATGACAGGCTGAGTAGACTCTGGAGTGAGAAGAGGGGAGGCTCCAGGTTTAGTCTTAAGTTCTTTTCTTCACTACTTATGACCTCGATATTCATCACTTCCGGGCTACCGTAAGCAAGTGCTACAGACCAGGTGGCTTGAGGCATGGTCTCCTGTCTGGGCAGGCTGGAAATCTCAGATCAAGTTGTCCGCAGGGTGTTCTAAGAGCTGTGAGGGAGCACTTGCATGTGTCTCCCCAGCTCCCGCTGGCTTGCTGGCCATCTTTGGCCTTCCTTGGTGTGCCCCTGTCTCATCCAGCCCCTGCCTTCATCCCTGTTCTCCTTTTATATGTCTATGTCCAAACCCTTCCCCTTTTTATAAGAACATTGGTCATATTGGGCTGTGGCATACCCTAAATGACCTCATCTTAACTTGATCGCTTGCAAAGATCCTGTTTCCAAATAAGGTCACATTTACAGGTTAGGACTTCAACATCTTTTTTTTTTTTTT